ATAAAATCCTTGCCTCCAAGGAGCATCTTGGTTTCACCCTCTTCAGGACAGACCTGTGTGTTCTCTTGGCAGCCCGTGAGCTGTCACAAAGTCTAGTTCTCCCACTGCCGAGCATGATGCCAGACGTACTAGTAGAACTAAAATCACCGAATTCAGTTGCACGTCTGCAGTGTATGGATGTTCCCCCCCCCCATCCCTTCACCATGCTTTGCCTTTCCCCAGAGCCTGAGTGCCGACTGGAGAAGACAGGGTGACATTCCTAAGAGGGGCAAGCCCATGCAGAACCAGGGATGTGGCCGGACCCAGGAAGCTGTGCTGTGGCAAGGGTTTGGAAGTAGAAAGCCAGAGCTTGTTTTACTGTCCCAAGGTTATTCTGGACTATTTCTAAATGTAAACTATTTCATCAAGATCCTCGCCCCCTCTCTGACCATCTTGTTTTCTTTGGGAGGGTCATGGCTGATTGGTGGTGCTGGTTCTGAGGACAGGACATTACTGCCGCCACCCTCAGTAAATTCACCTGGTCACTCGTTGCCATTGAGTCGGAACTGACTCGTAACTGACTCTCCAGCGGGTTTTTAGAGGCTGTAAGTCACATGGGAGGAGACTGCCCACCTTTCAGAACAGCAGGTGGATTCCAACTGCCAGCCTGATGCCCCTTTGTGTTACCAGCCCAACTCCCTTCCACCTGTGACACTAGAGCCTCCTTTCCCTGAAAACCCCCTAACCTCCCAGCCATCAAGCCAATTCCAACTCATAGTGACTGAGAAACTTGATTGCTGGTGGGACAGCCGTGAGAAGGGTGATGGGGGGTTCATTCTGGGCCCCAAGAATCTGGATCTCTGGCGGGGCTAGCAGATGGCCTGGGCATAGCATGGAGATGGGTACTCTGTCCTTGCTGCTGGGGGACATGATCTTACACATCCTACAGGTACATAGTAAATAGTCATTAGACAAGTGTTTCCTGTGTTGGCTAACAGCTGCATAGAATGTTCCCACCTCCACCACCAACTCATTGCCCTCAAATTGGAAGTGACTCGTAATGGAGCCTCCAGAGAGTTTTCTGAGGCAGTGAGTCACGTAAGAGGAGCTTGCTCATCTTTCTCCCACGGAGCAGCTGGTGGATTCAAACCACCTGCCTCTAGGTTGGCAGCACAACTCTTTACCCACTAGGCCACCAGGGCTCCTAGTGCAGGATGCTAGGAACTAGAAAATCACTGCAGAAACAAGAGAAATAAATGAACCTGGAGGGGGGGTAGAGATGATGATATCGACATACGATGTGTGATGCGCTGTGATGGAGGGGTGCGGGCTGCTGTGAGAGCAGAGACAGTGCATTGGTGTGTTAGCGACTGTCCCTCGAGACCCCCTGCGTGTGTCTGTGAGCAGTGGCGCTCCGTAGGGTTTCCAATGGCTGATTTGTGGAAGCAGATCTCCAGATTTTCCTTCTGCATCACCTTTGGATGAACTTGAACCCTGGCACTGTCAGTGGCCAAATGTGTTTCCACCACCGAGGGACTTCCTGGCACATTAAGTCAGGGGAAAAAAAATTACGTCAGGGTTGTGACAGATGTATGCATATCAATATTTATTGGAGCATTAGTCACAATAGCAAGGAGACGGAAGCAGCCCAAGTGCACATCAACAAAGGAATGGATGGAGAAATGGTGGTACTTTTACAAAGTGGAATATTACACAGCATTGAAAAATAATGAAGAGCTCCAGAAACACCAATCAACATGTCCAAGTCTAGAGGACGTTATGCTGATTGAAATAGCTTAGTCATAAAAGGACAAATATTACATAAGAGTTAAAAAATAGGATAGTTATGAGGAGAGGGTGCAGGGGTGCCAGAAAAGAATGGATAGGAAATGGTCATTGCAGTGGAACAGGGGGAGGGAAAACCACCCTGACAGATGGATGATCAGACAGTATATTACAATTAACAGACTGGAACAGGACGTACATAATGGATCGGATGGGGCGTGAGAAGAAGAGAAGGAGCAAATAGTCTGAGGACAGTTTATGCGCAGGTAGGTTTATGCATGGAGAGCGGTCAGGCAGGGGCGGGAGAGCAGGGAGTGTGACCAGACATTAGAAATGGATGGGAGGTGTGAAGGGCTAGGCTACAGAGAGGCTTTGCCAGGACACCCTGAGAAATGGCATTGCACAATTGCAACTAATGCCATAAACGACAATGTATGTGATTGTTGTTGTTGTTATGTGCCGTCGAGTCATTTGCGACTCATAGCGACCCTATGTACAATAGCCCTAAACCCTGCTCTATCCTGTGCCAATCTCATTGCCTCTGACACACCCATCCCGATTACCCCAGTCACTGAATCAATCCACCTCATAGAGGGTCTTCCCCTCCTGCTCTATCCCTCCACTCTACCCAGCATGATGTCCCTCTCTAAAGACCTGTCTCTCCTTACAACATGTCCAAAGTATGTCAGATGAAGCCCTAGAATCCTTGCCTCCAAGGAGCAGCCTGGTTTAACCCTCTCCAGGATGAATCTGCTTTCTTGGCAGTCCATGGTACATTCTATACTCTTCTCCAGCACCACAGCTCAAAGTCATCAATTCTTCTTCTGTCCTCCCTAGTCATTGTCCAACTCTCTGATGCATAATAAGTGATTGCAAAAACCATGGCCTGTATCAGGTGCACCTTAGTCTCCAGAGAGACACCATTGCTCTTGAGTACTTTAGAGAGGTCCCTAACCGCAGACTTTCCCATCGCAGTACGTTTTTTGATTTCCTGGCTACTGGTGCCAAGAGTGTTGACCGAGGAGCTGAGCAAACTGAAGCTGTGAGCACTCTTAATCTCTGCCATCCATCCTGATGCTACCGATTGGTCCGGTGGTGAGAATTTTTGTCTTCTTGACACTGAGCCTCAGTCTGTACTGAAGGCTGCAGTCCTTGACCCTCTGCAGTAAGTGCATGAGGTCCTCCTCAGTTTCAGCGAGCAAAGTTGTGTCATCTGCATAACACAGATTGTTGATAGATCGTCCACCAATCCTAACACCACGCTTCTCATAGAGCCCAGCCTCTCGGATAATCTGCTCTGCATACAGGTTGAAAAGGTATGGAGATAGGACACATCCCTGGCGTATACCCTTCCCAATTTTGAACCATACATTGTATGTGAATAATTAAGTGAAAAACATGAAAAGACATTTGTGGACTGAAAAATGAATAGTATATAAACATTGTTCTATGGCTGTTACACTTCAAGTGTGGGTTGTTAACACAGGTTTGAAAATACTGTGTTTTAATAAGCAGGGGCACCCCTGAATTCAACTGTAATGATGTTCTTCTGCCTCTCTCCCCTTCCTGTCCAGCCTCCCCCCACCCTCACCCCTAGTCAGTCAGCCTGTTCCTCTCCCACTGGAGGCCGTGGGAGGAACAGGATGCTGCCCAGGGATGTCTGCCTACGTTTCAAGCCCAGAACTCCCCCGGAATTTGTCAGAGAAGGGCTGCAGTACTTGCCTGAATGGCGCCGAGGTTTTCAATGAGTTGCTCAGGAGTGGAGGATCCCAGGAGCACAGAACTCACCCCCTCGTTTCTCAGACACCACGCTGGGGAGAGACAAAGAACCCAGTCAGGAGTCAGAGCACTGGAGAGCAGCTGGAATGGGAGGGACTGTTAGGGAGTGGAGGCCAGTGTTTCCCCGCAGTGAGAGCTCAGCACGCAGGCTGTGTAGAGGATGGATGGACTGTGGGCTCCGGGCCATCATCTACCAGAGGCCTTGCCCCACCACCCAGGGCCACGCTCTCGGTCCTGAAAACATGGCCCAGCATGGCTGTCCAGCTGGCATCTTAACCCCTGTTCCACTGGGGCCCACGATCTTCTGTCTAGTTCCTATGCTCACTCTCTCCCATCTGTAATAGGAGCCCTGTAGACTCAGGTGCCTGGTGCCACCACCTCCTTTCTTCCCAGCATGAAGCCCATCGTGTGTGTGTGTGTGTGTGTGTGTGTGTGTGTGTGTGTGTGTGTGTGCGCGCGCGCTCGCTTCACTGTCTTCCCGGTGCCCAGCCTCTCACGCCTGTCCTCCCTCTGTGCTCCCCGCAACCCCTAGGAGGAAGCCCTAATGCTGCATGTCTCTATCTCTGTGTCTCCTTCTCTGTCTCCCCAGCGCCCAGTCCCTCGCTCCTGCCCTTCCTATACGTTCCCTGCAACCCCTAGGAGGAAGTCGTGCCTCTGTGCTTCTGCTTCCATGGAGGCGACAGAGCGGGCTGGGGGCACCCTGTCCTCTGGGTGGTGCCTTTGCCTCCACACTTCCACCAGCTGAGTCTGTGGCACAACCCTTTTCTTCAAAAGTCTGTTTATTTCCCTTGGCTGCCTCATTCCCCTTGACAACTGTTGTCCTTAAACATTCCACTCGTTGAGAAGACGAGCTTGTCTCCCATAGAGAAAACCAAGCCCACCCAGTGGATTGTTCCTGATTTCCCCTTCTCCTACCTACACAAGTATCTACATGGTCCAGATTCTGAGGATGACATAGGCTGTTTCCAAGGCCAAGTTCAACTCCAGCCTGCCATCCATTTCCTGGACTCCCGACATCCATCATTTCTCTTTACCTCTTGGCATTTGAACCTCTCACTATCCTTTCTCTTTGTTAAGCAAATATGCTCAAGTCCTTGTGCAGAGGGAAGCAGTCTCTGACCCTTCATGTGTGCCTCAGTCCTGCACAGCCACTTCTGTCCCTCAGAGGGACTTTGGACCCTAGTACTCTCCTCACATCCCTCCCACTTTCTAACCATGTCCCTGGAGCCAAGGTCACCTTCTGGCTCTAGACGTGCCTTTTCTGGACCTTTATTCAAATGCAAGCCCATGGGAAGTGGCCTTCAGTGTCTGGCTTCTCTCATTTCACATGTTTTTAGGTTCATCTCTGTTGAGTAGTTCAGTGCAGTGGGTTTCTCCACCCTTAACTGCCTCTAGACCAGGCATTTTTAAGTATTTAATCTCATATTGTTACTGAATAGCGTTCTCTTGTGCAGCTATGAGGATCCACTTTGAGAACCATTGCTCTGGACCATTGCCACCCTAAGGGATGAAGCTGTTAATCTTGTTGTTATGTGCCAGCGAGTCACCTGTGACTCACAGCGACCCTATGTACAACAGCCCTAAACCCTGCTCTGTCCTGTGCCAATCGCACTGTCTCTCACACACCCACCCCCATTAATCAATCACATAGAGGGTCTTCCTCTCCTGTGTTGTTCCTCCACCCTCCCAAGCATGACATCCCTCTCCAAGATCTGGTCTCTCCTTGCAACATGTCCAAAGTATGTCAGAGGAAGCTTCAGAATCCTTGCCTCCAAGGAGCAGCCTGACTTCACCCTCTCCAGGATAAACTTGTTTGTTCTCCTAGCAGTCCATGGTATATTCAATACTCTTCTCTAGCACCACAGCTCAAAGGCATCAACTCCCCTTCTATCATCCCTAGTCATTATCTAGCTCTCTGACACATAGCAAATGATTGCAAAGACAATGGCTGTTAATCTTACTCTGTCATATTTTCTCTTCTTCAGCTTCTCCATCTTCAGGTCTCCATCCACTTTCCCATCTTCATGTCTTGTCTCTCCTGACATTGAACTTTGTGCTTGAGAAACAACTAACTCTTTGCAGGACTGCATAGCTATCCACTCCCTCAATCCTTAAACATTATGCTATTTTTCTCTTTAAGCCCATACTTAACCTGTTCCCTTGACCTCACGAATATCTATTCAGCCTTAGAGATTTGCTATTGTGTCACCTCTTCAAGTCCCTCTCTGGACCCCCTTGTGCCTTTCTCAGTGATCTTGCATGGGACATCTTGTAGCAAACTGCTGTTCATCTGGCCCCTGACACGGCTTACAGCGAGATGTCATGAGACTATTGTAATCCATAATGTCTCGTTGGCTGTTTTTTAAAGTGGATCCTAAAGTCTTTTTCCTTCATTCATCTTAATCTGGAACTTGCAGTGTCGTCTGTGCAGCATCATGATAATATGCCCCACTGACTGGCGGTGGCTGCACAGGCGACGTGCTGCCTGGGAGCCAAACTTAAGTGGTCTTCGTGGAGGATGAGAAGGCTGCTTCTGAGGCATTGCTGCTGCTTCTATACTGTCAAGTGCCACTGAGCCGACTGCAGCTCTGTCACCCCAGTTCCCTCTCCTGGGCCCTCGTTGCCAGTCCAGTTCTGTTCAAGCCCATTGCTGTCGTCATCATGTTGAGGTGTTTCCTCTCTTCTGTAAATCCTCTACCTTTCCCAGCATGACGTCTTTTTAAAAGGTATACCTTAGAGGCACGGCTGGTGAAACTTAGTCTCACGTACCTTGGGCATGTTGACAAGGAGGGACAAGTCGTTGGAAAAAGACATGCTTCTAACACAGTGGGTGCTTATGAAATCACATAGTAGGTGCTTATGAAATCACATAGTAGGTGCTTATGAAATAAGCAATAAATAAATATCAACAAATATCACTTAGCAGCTCTTCTACCTCCTGTGTTTTAAAGCCCTACTGCCACTCGAGACTCTTGTGCTGTTACATGCCCATTTTATTGTTGTTGTTGTTACGTGCCGTCGGGTCGTTTGCGACTCATAGTGACCCTATGCACAACAGCCCTAAACCCTGCTCTATCCTGTGCCAATCGCATTGCCTCTGACACACCCATCCCGATTACCCCAGTCACTGAATCAATCCACCTCATAGAAGGTCTTCCCCTCCTGCACTGTCCCTCCACTCTACCCAGCATGATGTCCCTCTCTAAAGACCTGTCTCTCCTTGCAGCATGTCCAAAGTATGTCAGAGAAGCCCCAGAATCCTTGCCTCCAATGAGCAGCCTGGTTTAACCCTCTCTAGGATGAATCTGTTTGTTTTCTTGGCAGTTCATGGTACATTCAACACGCTTTTCCAGCACCACAGCTCAAAGGCATCATTTCTCCTTCTGTCCTCCCTAGTCATTGTCCAACTCTCTGATGCATAACAAGTGATTGCAAAAACCATGGCCTGTTTAGAATCATTAAATTTTTCCACTTGGGCAAATGACTGCTGTGTAAAGGGAACAGGGCTAGTTGTGCGAGCCTCTGCCTCCTTTTTGGGGCTGCATGTGCTGTGACTCGCAGGTCTTCTTGACTCTGGTGGCATTTCTGCGGCCAGAACTTAGTGCCTGTAAACGAATTCTAATGTTAGCATCTGCCGATGCCCAGCAGGGCTGGGGGTGGCTGGAGCACCTGCTCGGCTGCACTGGCCGGCTCTCTGAGTACCACCTGCAGATGCTTCTGGGTAATTAACATCTCTGGCCAGGTGGTGAGAACGAGGGGTGTAAGCAGCACGCACACCCAGAGCGCCTCGCCATGATCAAGGTGCCAGCGCTGGCTCCCCGCAGGTGAGGGTCGTGGGGAACCTGCACCCTCTGGGGTTTAAACAGTCTGTTTCCTGCCAGCTGCCTACCCTGCCCCCTCCTCTACAGATCAAAGATAAAGACCAGGAAGTGATGGACCTTTTGGTTCCGAGAGTTCTGTGGTTAAAAACAGAATCACGTGGGTATAAAGAAAGGAAAACCAAGTGACCAAAAGAAAAAGACATCATGGGCACAGAGGAACAAGGGGACAGGGGAGAGGGGAGGGGGAAGTGTTTTCATTTTAACTCTGATTGCAGAAGGAGGGTTTTTCATGCCTATTTAACATCTAGTGAAAGTATAAAATGTTATAAAGACACTCTCCCTACAAAGAGGATGTTCTTTTAGCTGATCCAGAGCTAAACTCAGTACCTGCCTTGTAACCCCAAGGTAAAGGTCATGACTGGGCAGAGAAAGGGTTACTGTATATGCATATCACTGCTCTCATGGCCAGAAGCTCACAGCATTGGGGTGTGTGTGTGTGTGTGTGTGTGTCTAACTCTGTGGAAACATCATCATCTTCGTCACAGCTACTGTTCACTGAACACCTGCCTCTTACTTCATGCATGTCATTTCCTTAAGATTATAAGATACATATCGTGAGACTCATTTTACTGATGGTAAAATTGAACATCAGGTTATAGTAAATAGTTGTCAGGTGCCCTCAGGTCAACTACGGCTCCTAGCAGCTCCAGGAAGCACAGATCTGAACTCGGCTCTCTCCTGGGCCATTCTCGGCATCTTTGATATGTTTCAGCCCATTGATAGGGTCTGTGTGACGATCCATCTTATGGAAGATCTTTCTTTTTCTGTCTCAGGTATAAACAGGCTAACTAATCACATTGAATACATTCTTTTTAAAGAAAATATAAAGTGACAAGTCATAGGCAGTCTCCTCTTGTTAACATTTACAGCTTTAGGAACTTGATAGGTAGTTGGAACCAAGTCAATGACAGACTTTGGTTCTTTTGTGGAACCACCTCCCATATTCATCTTCCTATGACTGTTAACTATACTTACCACCTTTGTAATTTCCAATCTCACGCGCGTCATAGCCAAGAAATATTACATTAAGTGCTATGATTTCCATAAAATTATCTTTAGGTCTTTGTTTATGGCATAGTTTTATGTGATTTGAACCAGTTCCTGCTACTTCCTAATCCTTAGCATTTTTTAAATTATAGTATACTCATTTT